CATTTGTTATTCTTGGTCCAAGTCATCTCTTCACCTTAATTGTTTAGTTTTATATTTTATCTCTATTGGTTTACTGATTGTGCATTTTGTTTCCCCTTTTTAGTGACTGACATGAGGCTGAAAATCTGTATGCTAATTTATTACTTCCTATGTTAAAGTAAAATAACTGCTCTCCACAGCTGTTCTACTCTTCTTTGTATAGTACAATATTTTCCGCACTCCTATCTCCTGTATTGCTGCTCTCATGTATTTTATTTCAGTTTTTATTTAAATTTAATTGTCAAGGTAATGTATAGAGGGGTTATAGTTACATAAGTAAGGTAATGAATTCATTTCTTTTCTAACTTGTTATGCCTTCCCCCATTTTTCTCCCACTTCCCTCCCAATGCCCCCCTAAGATTATTTCCAACATATTTTCTTGTGAGTATCATTGTTGCATAGGTTCCCCTTTTTTCCTTTGTTTCACCACTTTGTTTTTTCCCTTTCCCTTTCCTAATTCAGATCAACATATTTACAATACCCAGGATATCAAAATCAAATATCATGACTACAGGGGAAAAACCACAGGTGGGGAAAACACAAAAGGATAAAAAAATCACGGAGTACATTAAGAACAGCAACAACAAAGAGCATGCCTTGCAGTTCATTTCACTTGGAATCACCTTATACGGTCATATGTACATAGCTATTGAGCTATTCTGCTCATCTACTAAGATTATCCTTGATGTACACAATAATGCTCCCCTATTACCCAGTAATCCCACTTCTGGGCATTTACCCAAGTGACCACAAACAAGGCCACACTAAAGCTACCAGCATAATTATGTTTATCAAAGTATTATTTACCATAGCTAAGGTATGGAATCAACCCAGATGCTCCTCAATAGATGAATGGATCAAGAAAATGTCACATACACACACACATACACACACACACACACACACACACACGCACATAAATGGAATACTATGCTTCTGTCAGAAAGAATGATACCACCTCATTGGTAAGGAAATGGAAGATCTTGGAAAAAAATCATATTAAGTGAAGTAAGCCAGACTTAAAGAAACACAGGTCCCATGATTTCCTTTATTTGTAATAATTAGTTTACATCAAGGATAATCTCATATATTTTAATTTGACATTTTGTTCTATGTTGAGCATACAACATTATTGCTATATTGTTTGTTATTATTTCTACAAACAGGCCGATATATTTAAAGAATTATGTTCATCTCATCCATTACTGAAGGAAGAACAACTAAAAGAGCAACCCCTACTAAGAAGAACAACTCCTGCTTACTTAGCTTCAGTCTTATGTTAGGCCAGTGTTGTCCCCTATATCCTCATATTGTACATTACAACTCTATACTTGGTCATCATGTATATCTACTATCTTCTACATTGTGACCTAAATGCCCCAACAATTCCAGTTTGCTTTACTTTTTAAAAAATTTCTCTCTTAATGTTTAAGGTTAGTGTGTGTGTGTGTGTGTGTGTGTGTGTGTGTGTGTGTGTGTGTGTGTGTGCGCGCGTGTGTGTGTGTGTATGTGTGTGTGTGTGTGTGTGTGTGTGTGTGTGTGGTTTTACGAAGATCACAAGACAACATTTTTCTTCATTTAGAATACATCTTACAGGTCATTGTAAGTTGTGGCTAATAGAAGTCTCTTGCTATTTTAAGGAGAAACAGAAAAATATATTTGTGCATGTACTACAGTTGCTTTATTAGTTTGTAGTTGGACACTTAACTTCGATTTATATCTTGGCTGTTGTGAATAATGTGAAGAACAATGAACTACAGATATATTTACAAGTTCCCCAGAGAGAAATAATCACATGATTGGTGGGTCAGATGATATTTTAACTTTGCATTTCTTTAGAAAACTGCATACTACTTTCTAAAATGAGAACACTAACCTGTATTTTGACCAAGAGTGTAGAAAATTTCCTTTTCTCCACACACTCACCAACATTATTACCTTTTGAGTTTTTTTTAAAGGGCACGTTTTTACTATGTGAAAGTACCCCAGACTGGCCTTAGACTCAAATCCTCTTACTCCAACCTTCTAAATGCTTGGAATTACAAGCCTTTATCACCACACCTGGTTCCTTTGACTTTTTTGATGAGTCATAATACTTATGAAGTAGTTTCATAGTAATTTTGAATTGCATTTCTCTAATGACTTCTGTTCACAAAGCATTAAGCCAGCATAGAAATTGTATTAAACACAACTTTGTAACCCCACTGGCGATTTTCAGGGCTTTTTGGAAATCATGTCTATTCAGAACTTTGTCCATTTTTAATCGTTTCTTGTTAATCTCATCTTTAATCTCTATACAAAATCAAAAATTAATTCAAGGTACTACAAAGGAAAAAATTAAGCAATTGACATTTTTCAATTTTCAATAACATGATATTGCTTAAATCATTTTCTGTTTATGCTTGAGACTATATAACTGAATTTAGTTAGACATTTTACAAGGCTATATGTATTTTATTTATTATACATTGATTGCTCTTTCCAAAGCCTATGTATCTAATTTCCCTTGGTTTCTTTCAGTCTCATGTAGTTCAGATTTCAAACTGAAGAATAAATGGAAAGAAGCAAACAAAAAAAAAATACAGTTCCTCTCATCTGATGATGCCTTTACAAGAATGAGAAAAGAGTTCATCCTTCTAAGGAACTATGATAGGATATCAAAAAGAGAATTTATTCTTCTAGGTCTTCCCTATCTTTGCAATGTAACTTAAATGATGTAACACACAATATACTGCTCAGATACTTTTACGTTTTATCAGTTTTGTACATTTTCATATGGACTTCACTTCAGTCTACAACATTCCTTCATTATTCTGTCCTTGATATTTTTTCACTGTCAATACATAAGATAACCAGTTTGATTTACAGCATGAGAAGTTTTCCACCTGGCTTCCCTGGAAGCAGAGCATTGTCAATAGATAACATTACTTCTGGTTGCTCACTACATGTAATGGCTTCTGTAATACTTACTGCATTCTATTTAGTATTTTAAAAAAACTGCTGGATAAACTCAAAGCTCATTCATAGAAGTTTATGTTAAGTATTTCACAACTTTTATTTCTCTAAATTCTTAAGATAATATTTGCTATAATGCTAATGTTACTAACATTTTAGTGTTGGGAAAAATTGTAATTAAAGGCACTAAGTGCATGGCCCAAAGACATACAGAGAAGGAACAAGGAAATGAGTCAAAGTTTCCAAAAGTCTTTCACCAATACAAAAATGGTAGGTAAAATCTTTCCATTCTCTTACACTCTAAATTCAATATTTATATTGTCCAAAAATAATAGCATAGCAATTATTTCCCATGGTAATTATTTTCTATCACATTTTGTCTTCAGCACAGACTGTGTTGTTGACATTAGGTTATTATGCACAGAGTTGAGCTTATAAATTGAGGTCCAAAGAGAGGCAAATTTCTTCTGTCCCACAGTTCCAGTTTCCTTTTTAAAAAGTACTGAAACTTTTTAATATCATCAGTTACTGTCTTTTAAGAATCCAAAAAACAAAATATATTCACTTCAAAATGCTTTAAAAGTAGAGATGATAAAACAGGCCCCCGTGAAGTAAATTTTCTTCTACTTTTAAAATTATTCTGAAAGCCTTGTCCTGGTTGGTCACACCTGTAATCCTATCTACTTGGGATATCTACTCAGGAGGCTGAGATCTGTGGATAACAGTTGGAAGCCAATCAGGACAAAATAAATCTATGGAATTATTTTTTCAAAAATTTTAATGAACTAGCAGAGTCAGGAATGGAGATGTAGAGGAAAGGTAGAGGAAAGGCCTAGCAAGACCTTGAAGCCCTGAGTTCAAACTCTGAGCATGCCAACACACATGCACTTGGTCCACACATTCGCGCGCTCACACACACACACACATTTATTCAAAATACCTTCATGTCAGTGTTGTGCATTAATTTCTTTGTTAATGATATTATATGGGTAAAATAGGGGAAATAAACTCTTCCATATCAGAACATTTTTATACGTATTTTATTGTAAAAATACTGTACAGAGGGGTTACATTTACATGAGCAAGATAATGAGTACATTTCCTAACAAGCATGGTTAACTCCTCCTTTATTTTTCCTCCACCATCCCTTCCCTCCCACCTCCAAAGTACACTCCCCTCCCCAAAACCCCCCTGACGCCCTCCCTCATTTTTGAACATATTGTCTTGTGCATCTCATTGTTACACTGGATCAACCTGTATCCACATTTATTTAAGCATTTTGTTTTTTCCCTTCCCCTCCCCAAATTAAAGAAGCGTATATACAAGATGTAAGTGTACCAACTTCAAATACAGTGAGAACAGGGATTATAGCATAGGGGAAGAACATATAAAGAAACAAAAAAATCACATCGTACATTATAAGTACAGTAGAAACAATAGCATAAAAGAAAAAAAAAACACTTGTGTCCCTATCTTGGGACTCATTTCCCTTAACATCATCTTATCTGGTCATATGCACATAGCTTTTGATCTTTTCTGCTTATCTCAAACATATATTAGTTACTGAAAATAAGAAAAACCATGGGACCTATGTTTCTTTGGACTTGGCTTACTTCACTTATTTTTTTCCCATGTCTTTCCATTTCCTAACAAATTGGGCGATGTCAATTTTTCTGATGGAGGCAAAGAATGCCATTGTATATATATATACCACATTTTCTTGATCCATTCATCTACTGAGGAGCATCTGAGTTGGTTCCATATCTTAGCTATGGTAAATAACGCTGCAATAAACATAGTTGTGCTGGTAGTTTTAGTATGGTCTTGTTTGTGATCATTTGGGTAAATGTCTAAAAGTGGGACTGCTGGGACATAGGGGAGCTTTATGTGGTGTCTTTTGAGTAACCTCTATACTGCTTTCCAAAGTGGTTGAAGAAGTTTACACTCACACCAAGAATGCAGCAGGGTTCCCTTGTGGCCATAGCCCCTCCAGCATCTGTTGTTGTAAAAATATGGAACGCTTCATGAATTTGCATGTCATCCTTGCACATTGGCCATGCTAATCTTCTCTGTATCGTTCCAATGTTAGTGCGTGTGCTGCCGAATTGAGCACAGAATATTTTTTATATATAAAGTGTAATTGATTTTCTTAAACTAGACAATTCAACAAAAAGTAAGTTCAAAAGAATTGTTGTGAGATTTTAGAACCATGTATTTCTTACTTAAGCACACATTTAAGAATAAAGTCAAGATTGACAGGTCAAAAACAAAATAATCCCAGATATTTGTTGTTCAAGAGATGTGTAGGAGGAGGAATTCAATTATTCCATACAAGGCACCTGTCATAATGAACACTGCAGCAAGTGTTAAGGTTTGTTAAAAGTTTTAATGTTTTAAAAATATTTAATTTTGGGCCGGGCGCTGGTGGCTCACGCCTGTAATCCTAGCTACTCAGGAGGCTGAGATCTGAGGATCGCGGTTCAAAGCCAGCCCGGGCAGGAGAGACCATGAGACTCCTATCTCCAATAAACCACCGGAAAACCGGAAGTGGCGCTGTAGCTCAAGTGGTAGAGTGCTCGCCTTGAGCTGAAGAGCTGAGGGACAGTGCCCAGGCCCAGAGTTCAAGCCCCACTACCGACAAAAAAAAAAAAATTAATTTTGGGAATTTGGTTATACATGCCAAAATTAGGACTGTTTAGCAGGTCATAAAACTTTTTCTATAAAGTATTTAAGATTTATGGTAGCAGACATATACTACTAAGTATGTACATTTCAGAGTTTTTTTTAGAAACTTACTAATGAGAAGTTACAAAGTCTGTGTAAAGAAGCAGAGTGAAGAGTTGACTTTGTTAACTACACAGCTTCCGTTAAAACTTTAGGGCTTCCTTATTTTATATATGTTATTGAGGATATAATGATGATATAAGCCATATACAAATGATGAGATGAGCCATAAATAGTAATCTTAGTGGGTAACTTTAAAGATTACTCTTTGCCTATAAACCTCTTGTTGAACATCATAATCTTAGCCAGTTTGAAATGCACAGGAATATGAGAAAATAGTAAAATCTAACATGTACTACACTTCAAATACTGAAAACACTGGTAATTGTTTTTTTTTTATTTTACTAATCATTAATATTGAATTTTTGGTTTTCTTTATTTGTAGCATTGTTTTCCTTGATGTAATATAATACAACTTTTTGTAAGTCATCTTTAGGAGTTACTTTGAGAAGGTTATTGGAATGGCCACACCATTGTTTATAGATGCTTGTGAATTTACAAATAGCAAAATTAAGAACAAAATATCGATTAAAAAATTATCAAGTAGAATCTGAATCAGGAGTGTTGATAAATGTCCACACCTAAAATCGTAGCCCTAGGCTCAATCAGAAGTATTACAGAGTTGAGACCACAAAAGTGAGAGACTGTTTTGTATTGTTTTTTATTTTGATTTTGTTGGTCATGGGGCTTGAACTCTGGGGCCTGGGTGCTGTCCCTCAGCTCAAGGCTAATGGTACCCCACCTTCCCCAGCTTCTGAGAGACTGTGCTTTAAAAAAAAATCATCTAAACAACATTTGCTTTCTGCTTTGGGTTATATAATGAAATATATGAATATCTATCTATCTATCTATCTATATTATATATCATATGTCATGGGGCTTTACTTGTGTTCTTGGGCACTATCCTTATGCTCTTCAGCTCAAGGTAAGCACTCTACCGCTTGAGCCACAGTGCCACTTCCGGTTTTGACAGATTCGACTTGCAAAATGCAGTACAAGTGATAGCAAGTCACTCAGAAATCTCAGTAAGTAAAGGTCACATGGTGTCTCCCTGCTCCCCACAGAATGCTTGCTCTTGTAGATACTCTCCACAACCAAAGTAGCAGGAGAATACTCTGGTAAAGAATAAAGTTATGGGGGGTGGGAAAAAAAGAATAAAGTTATAAGGCTTTAAATGGTATCCTTCCTTGAGCTCTTTTCCAACAGCCAGCATCAATTCCTAAGCAGATGAGTGAGTCCTCAGAAGACTGGAGCTCAGGTCAACATTTACCCAACCCATGTGAAAAGTCCTAAGTGAGAAATGCTGACTGAGGTCTTGTTGATTTCCTGGCCAAGAAAATAAGACAAAAAGAAAATATTTTGAATGTATTAAAGTTTGAGAATAATATGTAACCAGTCAATAAATGTGTAGAAAACAATTATACCAAATGACTAAAAAATGATGTGTGTTTCATTTATGTGCTCTTGGATTTGGCGAGTGATTTTAGGTGTGTATACACAAGTAGAATCAGCATAAAGCAAGCCAACATTTCTTCATTTAAGATACAAGGAAAGGATACAGGTTGACCTATTGTAACAGTGAGATGGACAAGACATTATATTGAGGGTGGGGAGGTGGGGTGGAGGGAGGAGTTGGGGAGGTGAGAAGGGAAGGGATGGGAGGGGAAAAACAAAGGAGGGGCAACAATGTTCAATAAGAAATGTACTCATTACCTTACTTATGTAAGTGTAATCCCTCTGTACAGTATCTTTACAATAAAAACATATTAAAAAGATAAAAGGAAAACTTCTCTACTTATAGGAAGTTGACTTTGTCACTCAATATCAGAAAGGTATTGGTTTTAGGACCACAGGATTATTAAAACTTTGGATACTCAAATTCTCTACATGAACACAGTATATTATTTACAACCTAGTGCAGTGTAATTGCTATGAAAATTTTTATTATATTCTAAGTAATGAAAACCAAAGTATATGCACTATCACCAGATGCAATTTTTTTCAGATAATTTTTGTCTGCATTTTGTGGATGGAATTGGGAGAGCAATTTTGAAAGGCACAAATTTCATCACCAAGACCTCTCTGCAAAATGTAACAAGGATCTAATACAGCGTCATTGTATAGTATGGAAGTACAAGGAGAAGTACTTGAATTGAGACATTATCAGAAAGTGTAACCATGCAAGGACTTTTTAGAAATGCAGCTGCTAGATTTTTCATGGAGAGCTTTCATAACACTTTGTGAAGCACAAGTCAGAACCTCACTGAAGTGTAGATAGTTTTCCCTCACCTTTCTGTTATGCTCAGTCATTATCAATCAACATATAGCTAATCTTGAATAATCCTCTAATAACAAAATGTTCATGGAGTATTTATATGCAGAATACCTGGGAAGGCTAACTTTTTCCAATTCGGACAGTCTGTATTCTATGATCCAGAAGAGAGAAAACTAGGTAAGCATCCATTTACAGTCTTCTGACTAATTCTGATTCTGCCCACATCAGTTATCTATACATACCTGTGCCCAAGTGAGAAGATTTTAAAAGAATTAGTGATTGAAAATTTAAATTAAAATGTGGAATGAAATTAGTTCCAATGCAATACATTAAGGTATTGAGAAACAACTGAGAAGCCTAAAGGTCTAAAAGATTTTTTATTGGAAGTAAAGGGATATTGGAATTAGGTTCTCTATATTTTAAGCAATTTGCAAAAACAATTTGCAAAATAAAATTTACATTTGCAGAAAACTTGACACATTAATTTTTGTATTTTGAAAAGAGCACAAGCCTTAACAATATGTCAATGCTATTCTCTTATTTAACTCTAAAGGTTTATGCTTCTGGTCTCTTAATATTAAAACTTCAAAACATTTTTAATCTTTAGCTAGTTGTGCAAAGGGTTTCACTTCATCATGTCAGTGTATGTGCATTCCAATGTACAATGCATCTGGATCATTGTCAAACTTTCCAGTTTTCTTCCTTCCCTTACCTCAACCCCACCTATCCCTTCAAGTTTCCTACTTATATTCTCACATATGTATATTGAGTGATATGACTGTATTAGTCCAGCATTTCCCTCTCCATTCTTTTTTTTAATTGTGAAAATACTATACAGAGGGGTTACAATTACATGGGCAAGATTGTGAGTACATTTCTTATCAAGCATTGTTGCCTCCTCCTTTGTTTCCCCATACCATCCCTTCCCCTCTCCACTCCCCACCTCCACACCCCCCTACTACCACCTCCCTCCACCCCCTCATCCCCCACCCCACCAAAATTGTAAAGTTCGTTTTTCAACATAAGTATTGTACATCTCATTGTTGTAATGGGTCCACCTGTAACCCTATTTAAACGATTTGTTTTTTCCCTTTCCCTCCACAAATTATATCAACATCAAATACAGTGAAAGCAGGGCTTATACCATGGGGGTGATACATACAAAGTAACAAAGAAATCATCTTATAAACAACAAATCCTCAAAGAAACAACTGCCCAATAAATAAGTGGGCTAAAGACTTAAAGAGAAACTTCTCTGAAGAGGAAAGAAGGATGGCCAATAGACACATGAAGAAATGCTCAACCTCTCTAGCCATAAAAGAAGTGCAAATCAAAACAACATTGAGATACTACCTCACCCTAGTAAGAATGGTGTAATCAAGAAGTCTAATAACAGATGCTGGAGGGGATGTGGACAGAAGGGAACCTTACTGCTTTGTTGGTGGCAGTGTAAACTTGTTCAACTACTTTGGAAAGTAGTATGGAGGTTCCTCAAAAGACTCTATATAGAGCTCCCCTATGACCCAGCAATCCCACTTTTAAGCATTTACCCAAATGATCACAAACAAGACAATACTAAAGCTTCCAGCACAACTATATTTATTGCAGCATTATTTACCATAGCTAAGATATGGAACCAATCCAGATGCCCTTCAGTAGATAAATGGATCAAGAAAATGTGGTATATATACACAATGGAATTCTATGCCTCCATCAGAAAGAATGACATTGCCCCATTTGTTTGGAAATGGAAAGACTTGGAAAAATTATATTAAGTGAAGTAAGCCAGGCCCAAAGAAATATAGGTCCCATGGTTTCCCTTATTTGCCATAACTAGAATATGTCTGAAACAAACATAAACTGTCAGACAAGTTGATGAAATGAACCCCAAGATAAGGATTCAAATGTTTTTTTTCTTTCTTGTGATTATTCCCTCTCCATTCTTTTGCCCTACTCCCTTTAAGCCCAGCTCTCCCATTTAAGACGTGTTTCAAATTCATGGTATTTTGTTAAATATCTCTGCCTTTGGCACTTGGCTTTGGGCTTGCCACATC